TCAAACTAAGAACCTTGCACTTGCCAGGCAAGCACTTATTCCACTGAGCTATCTCTCCATCCCCTCCTCTCCCTCTTTCTTTCCCACCATGAGTTGAAGTTTTTGCCCCACGATTGGCTCCTGCCATGATGTGCTGCCTCTCCACAGCCCCAAAGTAAAGGGGCCAACTGACCAGGACTGAAATGTTGGAAACCATGAGCCAGGATAAACCTTTTCTCTGTCTGTATCTTAGGTAATGTGTTACAGTACTGGAAAGCTGTACTTAGTTTTCCCCAAAGAGAACAAACACGATGCTACTGAGACAAACTACAGAGCTAAACACTGAGTTAGAGGAAAGTCTACACTAGTTCTGAAACCCAGAAGTGCACTGTACTTGCCGTCCAGTGCAGAGGGTACAATCTAGTGAATCCTTTTCATAGGTAATCTAACCCTTGGCAAAAATGAGCCCAATCCATGCTCTTTCTCTCTTTTCTGCACGCATGTGACGAACGTGTACTATCAAAACATATATTATTTTCCTAGATTAGGAAATTTTGACTTCAGTTTTAATTCTTTCAAAGACTTTGTGTTTAGAGGCAACATAAGTAAATGCACATGAATCAAGAGGCAAAATTAGCCTGAGGTGGGAATGGGCGTCACCTCATTCATTGTGGTTATGCTAGAGTTCAGGCTGCCCTCACTTTCCAGGCCAGAGCCCCACACCCTCACATTTGGGTATGCTTTTACAAACTATAAAGTGCTGTACATTTTCTATGCTATTATTCCAAAGGATTTCAAATGCCATGCATTCTACTCTTAGAAGATCTTGTGGACAAACAGGAATAGTGAGTGCCTATATTCTAAAAGCAAGAAAAAGGAAGCTTTGAGAGAGGATCCCCTGCCATGTCATCAGGCCATTGGAGGCTGAGCTGTGGCACAGAGCCTCATGCCACCCCAGTTACCTGCTGGCTTTCATACAGTACAACTGCAATAGTCACCAGATGTAAAACATCACTCACCATGACAGTATACTCAGTCTGGGCACGGATGGCATCCCGCAGGAGCTGTCCCTTCCTAGAAGCCTGTGACAGAGAGCAGAATCAATGCCCAGGACTTTTTTTTTCTGGGGTGGGGGCAGAACTGGAGATTGAACTCAGGCCCTTGTGATTGCCAGCCAATTGCCCAGGACTTGAGATCTCAGGTCCCCAGCTACCAGAGCCAGAGAGGCAGGTGTTGTTGGCCTCTGGGTGGCTCCCAGGCCAGAGTGGGACTTACAGGCACAGCAGCCTTGTGGTCGGTCATGGCTTTCACAAAGGTCAGTGCCTCCGGAGTGGCCGACCGGATGTTGTCCACCCGCCCCTCCCGGAACCGCCGGATGGATGCGCTCTCATAGGTGGGCACCAGTCTATGGTGGTACCTGCAGAAAATAAAGATGAATGGCAACTGGTAATTTATTCTCAAAGAATCATAAACACAGAAAGAAAAGCAGCCTTGGCAGGCTTTATTGTTATAGTCTTGACTGAACTTGGCTCAGTATTTCATTTTAATGTTGATAGGATTGAGAGAATCCCCAAGACGAATGCTGGGAGTCTCTAATACCAAGAGTCACAGACACATGTAGAAGGTGGGGGATGCTGTGCTGATGGAAAATAAGGCATTGTGTGGTGATTTCTAAAACATCCTCAATCTGTTGGGGAAGCTGGAATTTTCTGTGAGAGTCACTGAATGTTTGATGAATAGCGCAGGATGGAGTAATGTGCAATTAATCATTCACTCCCTGGAGGGATTCAGCTTTATTTAAAATAATTCAATGTGATCTCTAGAGCCAGGCATAGGTGAGGAGGGGGTAGTCTAGGTGGCACTGTGCCCATGAGCACCAAGACGGCATCTCTCCTTCTCCAAGGAAGCTGAACCAGGGCAGTCCTTGGAGCTGGATGCAGTGTGTGCCTGCCTCCCCACAAATGGTTCTGGTCTCCTGGTCCTCCAAGCACAGAGATAGTGCCACTGGCCAGGGAGCACTTCTTTCCTTATGTGTGAGAGAGAACAGAGCGAGCACCCTTGGTTGGCACACCTGGTTTCCATACCCATTTCCAGCAGTCAGTCCAATCCTTGGTGTTGGGGGTAGGAAGGAAAAAGACAGAGCTCAGAAAGGAGCAGTGGCTACCCAGGGGCACACAGAGTCCTGACGTGTGGGGGACACTGAAATAGGATGAGGAGCTGGGTGGGATGAAGGCCCAGGTAGCTCTTCAGGAAGGAAATGAAGAAGGAAGTAGAGATGGTGGGTGGGAAGGAGGATGCTCTGTATGGGCACTAGAGGGTCACTGTGGTGAGTGATGCAGTTTGATTGGCTGGTCTCAAAACTGTATGATGGCAGGGATGGGGGGCTGAGTCATGGTCACATTAACCATTCCTGCCTGTGTGCCCCTCTCGTTTCTTCCTAGGGCCAGTCATGGTCACCCTCTGGCCCAGGATGGGGAGCCCAGAAAGACACTGCTGCCTTCTGGCTGATGCCAGACTCGAGTCACCACCATGGGTCTCACCTGTAGAAGGCCAGCTGCAGGGCCACTTGGATGAAGGCATCGGGGCTGCACTTCTGCTTCTTGATAAATGTCTTCCCATAGCCAGCAAATTTGTATACAGTAAAGTCCAGGTTCTTCACTATTCTGGAGGGCAGAGAAAAGCACTTGGGTCACAGGAGCTCCTAGCCCACTGTGATACTCTAGCCTGGCCTGCCACTCCACAAGTGAGACAGACTCTGAGCACAGTGGCTGTCACAGACATGCTAACCATACAAGTGGCAGAAGCACATGGGGCCAGGCTGTCCTGAGTAGAAGATGCTCAGCCAGTCTGGGGCAGAAGAGATGGCCCAGCTGCAGCAGCCAGGCAAGGAGCAGCAACAGGTAGAGCAGAGTGGGTGCATTTGCATGGGTAGGGCCAGGGTTGCCCACAAATAAACTCCCTACAACAAGGCAGGTCTGGAAAAGGCTGCTCTGGTCATGTGACCCAAGGAGAAAGCATATCTGCCCTGTATTTCTGTGGACTCTGGGGGAGGAGTGCACCTGCTCCTGAAGACTCAGGACACACACCAAGGCTTCCCCAGTAACCCAAACCCACATTATCCAGAAAGTTCCATAGCTGCTCATGACATACTTGAACCTCGGTCATCATCAGAATAGCAGGACAAGTCCCTGTGTCTACACGGAAACTTGCGAGTCCCACCATCCCCAAATCATCTTGTCTTCTCTTTGTGGGGAGTCTGGGGTCCAGCTGACACCTGGATTAGGTTCTAGCCAGGCCCATGCTCCCTGCCCATCATCCAAATCTCCTCCTATCCAGGGGCTCTGAGGGCCATACCAGAACTCACCCTGAAGTCCCACCTGAGTACAGACTCCTGGATAGACTGCCATTACCATCACCGAGCTGGCCCAGAACCCCCTGCCCTGGCCCTGCCTGAACACATCCCATCCCTGGAGTTGCTCCTCCCTCCCCAACAGGCTCTCCTCATTCTCCAGAAACAAGAGCCATCTAGGTCCTGGACAGCAGCCAGCCATCTCCCCTGGTGGTACCCTGGCCACCCTTTTCCCCTGGAGGACCCCTGCAGGCTGAGATGGCAGCATGGCTCCCTACTCCCCCAGGGGTCAGCTTGCCTCTGTGGCTGGCTCTGCAAACCCTCACTCACTGTCCAGCAGTCTACCTCCACTTCTTGGTGGGCTCAGGTCTACCCCCCTGCCCCTGCTTAGGTACTTTCTGCCTCACGCGTTGCTGGTTTGAGGGCAGGGGACAGCCCCAAGCATTTTGATGTCTCTTTTCCCAGGTCCCATACACTCCAGAGGTCTAGAATATCCCCTCCCCTTAGGTTAGGGCCTAATCACCTGTTCCCTCAGGGACAGAGGCCTCTTGCCAAGGGCCCTGTGAACTCAGCACTCTGAAATGGCTTGGATTCAAATGACCTATTCAAACCAGCTGTTTATGGAGCAGGGAGGATCCCACCTCTGAGCTGCTCAGTGAGGCAAAGCCTGTGGAGGAGGGGGAAGTGGCTGTGGATTTGCATTTATGGAAATGATGGACACCTCAGCAAGGTCACTTCCCCAGAGTCCAGGCTCCCCTTAGTCTGATTACACCTCTTTCATGGGCTGCAGGTGGGGTGCAGCCTGGGGGGCAGGGCTGCTGGGTCCTTGGGTCATCCAGGAACTCTGCCCCACACCCCCGTGGTCACCCCCTTACTGTTGGAGCTTTTCTGCTGAAGAGGCCAAGTGGCCTTGGATCTCGGGGGAGCATTTCCACCTCAGCCTTCTGGGTGCAGGGAGCTCGCTGACAGAGTCCTCTCGGACCAGCTTCTTGCTGCTCTTTGTCCTGTGGCACAGAGGGGAGATTGAGGCCCTGCCCCTACAGGGGGTATTGTTTTTATATCCCCACATTCATCCTATTTGATGTGTGTAGCCTTGGAGTTTCAGGGGGCTGAGCAGCACCCCAAACCACTGTGCAGATAGATAAACAGATGCTCAAAGAGGCTATCAAAATCAATGAACGGCCGGTTGGGATTCCACCCAGCCTGCCCCATTCAGAAGAGGATGCTCGTTTTTCACTTCCCTTTCTTCTCTCTTTCTCTCCCTCTCTCTCTTTCCTTCCTTTTTTTCTTCCTTCCTTCCTTCCTTCCTTCCTTCCTTCCTTCCTTCCTTCCTTCCTTCCTTTCTTTCCTTCTTTCTTCCTTCCTTCCTTCCTTCTTTCCTTTCTTCCTTCCTTCTCCTCTTTCTGCCTTTCTTCCTCTTTCTTTCTCTCTTTTCTTTTTTGTTGTCACTGAGGGTTGAACACAAAGCCCTCACACTGTTATATCCCCAAGCATTTTAAATTTTTAAATTTTGAGGAACAGTTTTGTGAAATGGCTAAGTCGCCCAGCCTGGACACAAACTCCTGACCCTCCTGCCACAGCAACATTTCTTCTCCTTGGGCTCCTATTAAACCCGTCACACCAATGATGCTCATTTAAGGCATGGAAGGAATATAGCAGCCAGCTATATTATTCTGTGTGCAGGGCTGATTTAGATTCCCGTGACCGCAAAGGCTTTATGAAAGCAACTGAGAATTAGAAGCCAGAAGAAGATGCTGAAGACAGTGAGCAAACTTGTGAGTGGGGACAGAGTACCCCAGGACAAGGAACACCTTCTGTGCTGGCAACATCAGGCCAGTTCTGGCTCTGGATGGGGACCCAGCATCTGAGGGCTGCAGAAGACGTCCTGAGGCCTCACCCACCCTCTCCCCAAGGACCTTCAAGGTCTCCTGTAACCCACACCTTGCTCTGGGCCCGCAAGTCTCATTTCATCATGTTCACAGCGATCTCCAAATGCACTCCTTGCTAAGCCCCTCTCCAGCCAGACACAGCCCCTGGAGACCCCTCTGTTTCTCTTTGTCCCCTCTGTTCATGCCCAGACTCACATGTGCTTGAGCAGATGCTCTGTGCACTGCACCAGGACGATGCCGTCAAATGGGGAGTGTTCACACACCACGCCGCATGTGCCATCTTGGCCCACCACGAACTGCATTGGAGAGGGGGCAAGTGTCAGGTCAGCTCTTGTGCCCAGCTGGGGATACTACTCTTTCATGGACACCAGGGATGGCACTTCCCGAAGGGAGCAGCACAGTGACAGCAGCAGGAGAGTCTCTACATGTATAGGTCTGGGTGAGCAGCCTCCCCGCAGAGACCCTGTGCACTGGGCCTGCCCCTCCTGAGAACAGCACAGTCCCCAACCTGCTGCACCCTCTCTGACTGTCTGATAGATCCTGTGTGCTTGGCCACTGTTGGTTTCATTCCCAGATGGAGACCCATGTTTACCCCTGCGTAAGTACTGGTGCTGCACAGGGGGTCAATGAAATGTGGTGATCTGATTTGGGTGGTGAGCAGGTTCCCAGGGAGGAAGAAAGCATCCCTTGACTGGAGAGAAGGAGGTAGATGGAGGATGCTCCATGCCGGGAAGGATGTGGATGCCCACACAAGGAAGCTGGTGGGCAGAAGGTATTCTGTTAGCTGCCACCAGGACCCCAGATCTTACTTCTGCCCTGCGTGGCTGCGGGAGCTGTGTCCAGCCCCTCCAACTTGATGGGCTTCAGAGGACTCTCATTTAAAAGCAGCCCAGGCAAGCCCCATTTGCCAGCAGGAGATAGCCACTAGAAAGTATGTGCATGCTGGCTGCTCAGGCACTAGACTGGATCCTTATGATTTTGCTTTATATGACTTCACGAAGGCTTTATTTAGCTGACTTGGAAAAGGAGCTATTATAGCTTGGTTCTGAAATGTCCAGCAAAGTCCTTTGACTTGGACCCCAACCTGTAGGAGGTGGGGCATGATGGGAGGAAGTCAGGTCCTGGGAGTGTGACCCTGAAGGGGACACGGACTGAGTCTCTTCTTTGCCTCCTGGCTGCCATGAGGGGAGCAAACATCTCAGTCACAATGTCCTGTGCTATCACAGGCCCAATGCAACAGCACTAAGCTGCCATGGACTGAGCCCTCTGGAACTGTGCCAAAGTAAACCTGTCTTCTCAAGTCAGTCATCTCAGCTGTGTTCCACGGTGATGGGAGGCAGGATTGTAGGGCATCAAACCAGCCAGAGGACAAGAGCAAGGAGAAAGTAGGTGCCAAGAGATATGCATACCACAGGGAGCAATATCAACCCAAAGGAGGGATGAGACAGCCTCTGTGGGGGTGCAGCAACTTTAAAAATAGCAAGGTCAGATGTTGGGTCAGCCTGCCAGAAGGAGAGGATGGGGACACAGAAGTGACTGCAGAACTCGACTCATCCTGTATGCATGGGTGGGTGATGTCATGAGAAGAGAAAAACATGAACTATTCTGTTTGACTTTGAGAACTTTTTGTGGAGATGTGGGCTGCTGTGATGATGCAGGGATGAAGGATGGTATGTTGGAACAGCCCTGCCAGCAGCCAGGTATTTGCAATGCTGACATCTTGGGGATCAGACATGGTTCTTGTTGAAGGTGCTGAGGATTTCCATGGTGAGACCACTGCCCTCTACCCCACGGTGCAGACGTACGACCCAGATCAACTGGAACAAGGTCCAGGCACGAAAAGGGCTTCCCACACAGGCCCCAGGATGGCGAGGGAGTTTCAGCTGACCTGGCCACTCCTGTAGAAGAGCCCTAGCCATTCAGAGGCAACTAGCATCCTACTCTGAGCCCTTCTGCTGTCCCGGCCACCAATTTCAGCCCCAGGCACCAGAAGACCTGTGTAGGCCATAGGGCACTTACCTGCAGGGACTTGTCATACCAGCGGTTGGCACCATTCTGGCTGTAGCCTCCTCCATGGAGGAGCTGGAGTGCCCTGCTAGTGTCACTGAGGTCCCCACCACTGGGGGCATCCAAGCACACCAGGCAGATGCAGCGCTCGATCATGTCCAGCGAGTCACGGTTGGTAGAGTCTGCAGGCAGGACAGGGAAGCTTGAAAGCCTTGGGGCCTGCCAGGCCTCCCCAAGGCCCCACTATAGGCCAGCAGCTGCAGCCATCCTGACCACTGACTTGTCCCAGGGTCCCGTGGAAGTCTTTTCCAGTCCTAGCATGAAAGGAGCCCCAGCTCCACCTGTGCATGGCACACATGTGGGCCCTGAGCTGCGATTCCCAAAGATCTGTACTCAGGGTCAGACGTAGTCAAGGTTTCCCATGAACATCTGGAGGAAAGCTTCTGCCTGCTGCCCTTGCCCCAGCTGTTGATTTGGGGTAGGAGACATGTGAAGGCACAAGGTCTTCTATAGCAGTAACACTGGGCTGCCCGCCACAGCTCCCTGGGCCCCACTCACAGAAGTCTTGTCCTTTACCTTGGCACATGGGCTGTCAGTAAAAGCTACATCCCTCAGCCTCCTTCCTTATAGCCAGGGGCAACCAGGTGTCTAAATTCTGCCAATGAAGTCTAGAGACACTCTAGGACAGCTTCCAGAAAGCCTCCCCTCAAGAACCTGTATGTATTCTTTGCCCTTCTTCCCATCTTCTTCCATTCTGCCACCTTGAAAGCAAGTTTGCGGGCAGAAACTCTGGCCTCCACTTGGCATTTCCCAGACATGAAGAAAGCTCTCCCTTCTGGTATGATTGCTGAATTGCTAAACCTTCCAAAAGGTCTCATCCTCACCAGGCTTGTGGCCACCTGGCCAGTCCTTACCCTGCTCAGGTGATTTCTCCAGGTTTGTGACAGATGTCCCTACACATGTCTTCTACTTTTGGCAGATTCTTGAGAAAGGAGTTATAGCCCAGGAAGGCCTTTGCTCTGAGGAGCCACCCCACTCTTGGGATATCTGTTCATCTATCTCTTTTCTATCTGGGTGAGTTTTGGGGCCCTCATGCCCCTCTTGGTCTTTTCTGCCCCATGCAGTCAGAATCTTGGTGTGGGTTGTGCCTTGCAGACCCAGGGCATGTGACAGTATGTGCCTGACACCACGCTGCCCTCATGCCCTTAAGCTGCTTGTGAGGGAATATAACCTTGAACCCTACACCCAAACTCTGGGTGCCTTGGCTGCTCTTGGGGTCACAGCTCCTCAAGGCCCTTCTGGACACTTGTGCATGTTCCACACTCTCGCCACCCTGCAGGCTGTCCCAGCTTGGTCCTCTGTTATGCTGCCATTCAGATTCTCACATCTCAAACCAGCTCCCTGACACTCAAGTCAGCTGGCCCTGCTCTCGTGCCCTCGGGAGTATGGGAGTATGCTGCAGCCTGCTGCCTACAGACAGAAAACTCTGCTCTGCTCACCAGGGCAAATTCATACCACATTTGGCTTGGGCCAGTGAGGTGACAGGGGACAAGACCTTCTCTGTGTCTCCTACTGCCTCCTGCTACACAACATGTGAGCTTGCTGCCTCCAAGCCCCTGTTCCCCAGGCAGTGACTGCTGTCTAGTGCCCGTGTTCCCCAGCCCTCTTCTGATCCCACCCCTGGGTCTATAGGCACAGGAAGTATCCTTCAATGATCTTGGTTGTAACCCAGTTCAGAGAGGGACCTGCAGGGACCCAAAAAGGCCATCAGGAAATGCACAAGGCCCTTGGAGAGTAAGAAACTGCGAGCTTGCAATGGCGGAGGTTGGGGCAAGTTAAGGCTGGGAAGGTGGGTGTTCCTGTCCATGTGCTGTGTTATGTCTCCCAAGGCTCCTTGGTATCCTCAGAGCCTGGAAGATCTTGGCCAGGGCCAGGTTCTGATCTGGGAGAGGTTTACAACGAGGACTCTAGTGTCAGAGCACAGTGGAGATTGGAGGCAGAGCTTGTGGGTGGATGCTTAGCCTCCAGCAGGTGAATGATGACTGTAGTATTTAGCTGAGGCTGTAGGAACATCACTGCCAGCACCTGCTGTGGGGAGGGGATGACTGGGCTAAGCATGTGTGCTGGTTATCAGAGACTAAATGTCATGACATAAGCTGTTTCCCAGGCCTTGATTGTGAGTAGGGGTCAGACTGGTCACCCAGTAACAGCAAAAGCCAGGTGAGATTCCAGAAAGAACCCCAGTACCCAGTTGGGAGAAGATCATCCAGGGCCATGAATGCCCGCCCTAGGGAGTAGAGTTCACTCAACAATGATGGGGCTCACCAAAGGTTCCTGGGAAGAACAGAGCCAAGGAACCCTAGTCATACTGAGTACAGCCTAGAGGCTAGTGGTGGGTGTGCGTGATCATGCCCACCTGGGCCAATGAGCTACAGAAGCCTGCTTGGTATCTGCATCCTCAAAGCATCTTACAAACTATGCCCAACTGGCAGAGGCTTGGCCACTCCATTACAGCCAGGCAACACCAGGCCAGTGGCAGGCAAGGACATGAGGATCCTGGCCTCATCCAGACAGGAGCAGGGCTCCCTGAGGAGGGTCTGGGCCTCACCATTGCATGCAAGCTGCACAGGCCTGGCTGCTCAGCACCACCCAACAGGAACAAGGACTTGGCTCATTACCCAGAGCGAAATGGGAGTGGGACAGCGGCGCCGGGAAGCCAGGTGGCCTTGAAAATGAACTCCCTGCAGCCTGCGCTGATCGGTCAAATGCGACAAGTTCATCCTGTAAGGAGAAAATGAACTGCACCCCATCTCATTCACCACAACTGCAACCCAAATGGAGTGAGCGCAGGGCGGTGGGCTGTGGGCGCGCAGCAGGAGCCATTTGTCGTGTGGCAATCTCCTGGAGCACACTGGGGCTCGCTTAATGTGGCGAATCTATCTTCTTCAACGAGTCAGGCTTGGGAGTGAGATGTGGGAGCTGAATAATAGAGGAGCTTGCACTGACATCCACACCCAGGAGGGCAGCTTCCCTGCAGGAATTCTAGAGGCTGGAGGCTTTGGAGTCCTGGGGCCACTGGTAGAGGCTGAAAGACTCAGGTGAGCAAAGCTCACTGCGCACTTCACTCCTCAGCCTTTGCAAGGCTGCAGAACACTTGGGTGCTGTTCCTAAAGTGCACACATGTGTATGAATACATGCCATCTGCATGGGAACACTCAACACTGTGACACCTGCCTCCTGCTACTATGAGGCTCATGGGCACAGCTCTGATTTCCACTATGCTGCCCTCCGCCTGGCAGCCAGGGAGATGGAGGCACAGGGCTGCTTCTCTGTGGTGCAGAGCTTCGAATCCTCTGCAATCCTATCTCAGCGTCTTTCCTCCCCAGACACAGAGCAGAGCAAGACAGCAACAGGGAATCTCAACTGAGTGCTGACAAGAACACTAAAACACAACAGAAAACACAAGTGTGCTCACTCTGCCAAGACCCAGGAGAAGGCAGCCCCTCGAGACATGAGACTGTTAGGTAATAGCCATCCTGCTTCAGCCAAGTAATGGGGAAAACTGAGTTTGCCACCTCCAAACTCTCTGGCTGCAAAGGCCTAGTAGGGACAGGGACTTCCGTTGGTGGTCTGTCTTCAGGGTGGTGTCACAACTTCTGGGGCTGCCAGGCTAAGGAGGGCCTCACGGGGAAGATGAATGGCCGTCTCCACTGGGGGGCTATGAGACCTCCCCCCAGGGTCTACTGTACAGCATCAACAGAGACCATGGAGAGAGCATGGACCAAGCCCACAGTGACAAGGGATACGCTGGCCCAGAGCATCAACACGCCAAATGAAGAGCCTGGACTCTGCCTGCACCCGCTGGAAGAAGGCAGCCCACATGCTAACATGCAGCTCCCCAGCCCACTGCTGCAGTGTCAAGTGGCCACACTTCATACCAAAATAATCTAAATTTCAGTTAGGAGTCACACACCATACCAAGAGAAAGAAAATCTCCACGAGTTAAAGAAGAATCAATCAATGTTAATTGAGGTGATAGAAATGCTAAGATTATGTGAGAAATATTTTAAATGAGTAATTATGAAAGCACACCAATGAGATTTGAGCACTTTTGAAACAAATGAAAACACTCACAAAGTCTCAGCAAAGAAAAACTCTCAGAGAAAAAAAAAGTAAGAACCAAATGGAAATGAAAAGTTCAGCAGATGGCTTCAAGAGCAGAGAAGAGGGTAGAGGAGTGAATCGGTGAACTTGGAGATGGCCCCACAGAACCAACCAAGAATCACAGGAAAAACACCCTGGAAAAAATAAATGGATAGCGCCTGTGGGGAGGAACATACAAGGCTGAACTTCCACAGTACCAGATTCTCCAGAGGAGAGCAGAGATCAGAATAGAAAAGTACAGAGAACCTGTGACGGGCACCCCCACAGGCTCTGCAAAAGATGTAAAGGTAAAGACTCAGGAAAGGGACTTAATCAAAACGAGATAAATCAAAAGAAGCCTGCATCCCCACGTACCACAGCTACACTTTTGGAAACCAAAGACAAAGTAAAACCTTGAAAGCAGTGAGAAATACCCACAGGAGAAAAGCAATCAGACAGCAGCAGACTCGTGAGAAGCCGAGGAGGACAGAAGGGAGTGGCAGGGCCAGGTCCACAGTCTCCAAGGAAGCTCTGTGTCACACAGAGTTCAGGATCCTTTGGAAATGAAGAGCAAATGGGAATCTGCTCAGGCGGCAAGGAACCGGCATGGGGTGGCTCAGGCAGGGCAGCTGGATGGAGGCAGGAGGGACAGAGGCCCTGGGCTGCACCCCAGCACCACAGCACCATCCAAACCCAAGGATTATCCCCAGCAGAACTGCTCTGAGGCAGTGACCGAAATGAGTTTCTTAAAAAGAATGATGAGAGGGAACCTCACACATTGAGAAGGAAGGAAGAACAAGGGGAGGAGAAAAGCGGAGTGAATAAAGTTATTTTCAGTTTTTCTTGAGTTTTCTGAATTACATTTCAGTGCTGAAGTAAAAATTATAATAAGGCTTCATATGGTTCTATGTGAATATGAAGGAATTATTTAAAAATTACAAACAGGGAAGAGAAAAAGAAATGTAAAAGGTAGAGAGCTTTTTACACTTCATGGAAGACCTGGTAAAATTTTAATGCCAACAGGCGACATTAACTCACA